TATGTATGTATAGTAAGTATAGTATGTATACATATATATATAATATATATATATATATATATATATATATATATATATATATATATATTCGATACCTACACCAGATCTGATTCATTTGGACGACGTACCTGTCCTACCAGGGGCTGCCATTGTTCTGTGCGACTAAATACGGCATCAATTTTGAAGCCGGACTCCTCCACTCCCTGTAGTTATAAATTGCATGGTGGATATGATTTGGTTTGCGACGTTTCTTAGACAAATTTAAACTGATTTCTTCAATTGATATAGACTCGCGATGTGTTTCCTGTTATTCAGTCAACAATACTGTGTAGTCAACATCCAAGAGGATCGAAAATCTCAATCAATGCAGTACGCGGCACTCAGCTTGGGTTCACTACACATGCGCGTGTGGTACACGCACACCAAACATGTTCATGTCTGATACCTTTTGTATATTTTTGGCGGTGTTTTCGTCGTCCTCGAGATCAGCAACAACGGTGCCGTCGCACATACCCTCCTTAACCCAGCCCTCATACTGGTCGTCTTTCTTGCCGCAGTGGATGACTTTTGTGCCTTTCTCTTTGATCCACATTACCAAAGCCTTGGTGGAAGGATGTACCGTACCTAGAAGTTACAAAAATATAGAGTATTAGTGTTACTTCTAAGCAATCGCTAGAGTCTTCGAATAGAAGCCAATGAACCCTACAACAACAATAAACATACCAGTCGTAAACAGCAAGCGATTGCAACTCTATTCCATGCCATCGGTGAAGAAGATCTTAAACAAAAACTCCCTATACTGAATGCTGTCAGGAGAGGAAACTCACAGAAATATATGTGGCTAGATTACAATATACACATGTAAACGGTAACAACCGAGATAGAAGAGCAGACAACCCCGCTTGATATATATATCTATATATATATATATGTGAAACTGGATATATATATATATATATATATATATGGATAAATATATATATATATATATATATATATATATATATATATATATATATATATATATACATATGTGTGTGTGTGTGTGTGTGTGTGTGTGTGTGTGTGTGTGTGTGTGTGTGTGTGTAAATACATACGTATACAGACACACAAACAAAACACACAGACACAGACACAATACACAAGTAAATATATATATATAACACCAACACAGACACGCATACATATATAAACATACGTTGTATATATATATATATATATATATATATCCCCACTCACACACCCACACACACATATATATATATATATATGTGTGTGTGTGTGTGTGTGTGTGTGTTGTGTGTGTGTGTGTCTCTGTGTGTCTGTCTGTGTGTGTGTGTGTCTGTGTGTGTGTGTGTGTGTGTTTGTTTGTGTGGATGCATATATATGAATATATGTATATATGTATGTATATTTACATATATCTATGAATATATATAAATATATATGTATATACATATACATATCTATATACGCATATATATATATATATAGTTATATATATATACATATATATATTCATATATGTATATTTATATGTATATTTATATATATATATATATATATATATATATATATATATATATATATATATATATATACATATATAGGTATATATATAGATATATATATATATATATATATATATATATATATATA